GACAACTTGAGGTATTTCTAAATATTTCTTGAAAATGCAAGTAGCTATTGAAAAAAAACTAGACATTGTAGTAATAACGACCATACATCATCAAAGCGTGTGAAGAAGATCTGTCAAAGGTTCTAGGTTAAAAATGACCAGACAGCTTTTATAACGTTGTAATGCAGTTTTCTTTAACCTCTTTCAAATCTCTGTCGCTACAGTTAGCTCTACGTCGCCACAACCTTTGGTCTTTGCAGATTGAAGTTGATACCACTTGTCCATTGTTCAAGGGACTTGCAACGCGGCAAAAGGTATTGCTAACCCATGGTGATAGTGTCACTGATAAAACTGTAGCTAATGATTTCAAAGTTGTGGGTAGGAGTGGAAATTTTGTTGCAGGTTGGTTTAGGTTTCTTCCAATCTTCCAGACTTTATAATATTTGGCATTTAGAAAACTTTTGCCACTCCTTCAGCGCTGTGCTTTTCTATACATGCATCCATGTTTTTTGTTAGCGAAAATCGTGTAGATTTTCAAAGGTCTTTAGCAATTGCTGATGAAAGGCGGAAGTTATACGGTGTTCAGTTTCATCCTGAGGTAGATTTATCTGTCTCTGGAAAGAAAATCCTGCATAATTTTCTCTTTCGCATTGCTGGTGTTATTGATGGTTTTACGATTGATAATCGTGAACAAAAATGTATTCAAGAAATTCGTTCTGTTGTGGTGGATAAAAAAGTGTTGGTAAGTCTTTACCAATTAATGTTCATATTAGATATTGTATGATGTAAAAGTTATTTTTCAATGAATTTTGTGTTAAAATGTTTTCTAAAATATTAGTGATCTACGAATTGTAGTAACACCAGAAATATGTTTAGGTGATGGTGTCGGGTGGGGTGGACTCAACAGTATGTGCTGCTCTTCTTCACAAAGCTTTAGGAAGTGATCGAGTGATTGCTATACACATCGATAACGGTTTTATGCGCTCCAATGAAAGTGATCAAGTAGTGGACTTGTTGAATGAATTGAATTTGAAAGTGCGAAGTATGTTGTATTTCTTATTTTGGTTTTTCCTTTTATGGTAATGAACATGCTCACTATTCTTAGTTTTTTGTCCAGATAACGATGTTTGTATTTCTTCAATTTGTTAAACCAGAAGTTAATTTGGTGAACTTGGTGCAATGATATTTTTCTCATTTCTTGTGTGTCGAAAAATAGTTTAAGTAGACAACTGTAATGTTCGTGCTTCTTGGAAATAACACTGATTGAGTTTGATATGAAATTATATGGGATCTGAATCGGAAGATCTGGAAGTGCCTGAAATGGCTATTTTATTCAGAAAAATAAGGAATAATATATTTTTTAGAGTACAGTGCCTTCTATGCATTTATGAATGGCCGAATACAAATTGGAAACGAACTTTCAACACCACTGATGGGGACAATACAGCCCGAATTGAAGCGCAAAATAATCGGTGATACATTCATGCGAGTAAAAGATAAAATAATGGATGAGGTCAGCAATGTTTTGTATTAAAGTTTAAGAGGCGATAATCTTATGAATTTATTGAATTCAAATTGAATTACCGATTCATTTTAGTTGAAGTTGGATAAGGATATATTTTTGGCACAAGGTACACTCAGACCAGATTTGATTGAGAGCGCGTCACACTTGGCTAGTTCCCATGCAGATGTCATTAAAACCCATCACAATGATAGTGCTCTTGTCCGCGAACTAAGAGATTTGGTAAGTGTGATTTGCTTTCATCAATTTTTGGATACCTCTTAATATGAAAAATGACAATGAACTGATCCTGTATTTGCCTTTGACCGATAATAAAACCTCAAATGCAAAAAATGACTGTATAATAAATTGTAATCAAATGACAGCAATTTATTTTCAGGGCAAAGTTTTGGAGCCACTGAAAGATTTTCACAAGGATGAAGTTCGTGAATTAGGAATATCTTTAGGATTACCCGAACATGTTGTCCACCGACATCCCTTCCCGGGTTACTTGTTTTTCATTTTTCCATTTCTTTTTGCAGCATCCGAGTTCGCCCTTTTTTGTATAAATTGGCTTATAAAGTAAGAATATTCATGACTTACTAATTTTGACTTACATTGGTCGCCAATGTAAGTCAAAATTAGGCAGAATACATGTAACAAAATGTGTCATGGTCTTTTTTGTAGTGATTATTAGCCGTGCTTGGCACAATAGTCCAACAGAAGGTGCTATCTGTACTACCGAATATTTCTGTTGATCGATGTAGAAAATTCCAGTTATTACAACGGAAGCAAAATTTCATATTTGAAATTCTTACGAAATGTGTTTCAGGTCCCGGATTAGCTATTCGGATCGTCTGTGCCGAACGTCCATTAATTAGTGACTTCGATCTTTTCGTTACTACTCAGCATCATTTGCACTTGATCGCAAATCTTTCACTTTGTGATAAGGATGTATGTTTGTGTTATCCATTTTATGTAATTAAAAAGTCTTATACAGAATTTTTTAACAGAATGAGTTCCAATTCGGTTCAGACACGCGTATCATTCTGTAAACCTGCTTCACTGATATTGATATGTTTTAGAACGATTGCAGCAGTAATTGGTCTTGGAATCCCCTCATGTTTTCTTAGGGATAAAGATGAAATTATAAAAATAGCTCTTTTGTACAGTGTGAAAAAAAAATTTATTATAACGAACTAGACCGGAAGAATTATTAGTTTTAGTCTGAAGAATTCAGCTCCATAACTCAACACTTATCAAAAGCTGATTTGAAAATCATCAGTGATCATGATTTTGAAATTGCAACTACTCTTTTGCCAGTGCAGTCAGTTGGAGTACAGGGTTTGTTTGCCTTTTGTCCTTTTATATAATAGAAGAAATGAAAATATTTTGATTGATTTGTGTTTGTTAGAGTTAGTTTGAAAATTTTGTTCTTTTTATTTCCCATTCCAAAAATTATTTCAATTTAATTTTTAATTAATCCAAAATTACTTCAATCTTCGCATTTTGAAAAATTTTTCGAACTAACTGGTTGTATAACGACAATGGTTTTATGAGATGAATATCTGCTTTGCAAACAGAAGTTTCATCAACTGATACAAAGTATTTTAGGTGACGGACGATCTTATGCATATGCAGCAGCATTGTCCACAAACGAAAGGCCTATTCCATGGGAGTTATTAGAACGACTGGCTCATATTATACCTCGCTTGTTACACAATATAAACCGGTTATTCTTATTGAATATGCATGAAAAAAGTAACTAATTGACGCATTGGTTTATGACATTTCTGGCTGTTGCTGTTGCTTTTATTAAATTTAATGTTATTAACTCTCTCCACATGATTGATTCTATTTCAGAGTAGTTTATGTTTTCGGGAATGCAGTTGAATATCCGGTGAACGATGTTACGCGCACATATTTGAATGGCTTCACAGTAGGTCTAATAAAGTGGGCGGACAGGATAGCTTCTGACGTCCTTTGTGGGTTGGGCGAGAATGGTAAGAGAGACCTCACTCTGGATGTGTGTTTACAAAAAATACAGCAGGTTCCTCATTTTTCAGATGTAAATATGAGATATGATTCCTTACACACACACACACTTTTACATTAATAATTTCACAAATTTAGATGCCAGTGGTGATGATTCCCATTCATTTTGACAGAGATCCTTTAGAACGAAGAGCATCAACACTTCGATCTTTCGTTCTTCGTCCTTTTATCACTAACGATTTTATGACTGGTGTTGCTGCTTTACCCGGAAAAGACATCCCCGAACAGGTACCAGCACTGCAAAATTCGGTTCAAATTGTACCTGGCTTTGAAGTGCAAAATTATCAGTTTTTCTTACTAAATATTAAAAAACTTATTTTAGAGTGAATTTACATTTAAAAATAGCTGTCTGGGCTCTGATGTGATTTCGAATTTGTACCTATTTTGTGTATAAATACAGTTTTTTTTTAATTGTAATTACTGGCATAATTATTCTAGAACATATTGGAAATAGTACGTCGCATTATGGAGCGTGTACCTTTGACATCTCGCATCATGATCGACCTTACATCAAAACCACCAGGCACCACAGAATGGGAATAAACCGAATGTTGGTATATGTTCAAGGTCATCGTTCAAGCAGATTTTAATCTCAAAACAAAAGAGTTGAAAATCCCTTATGCTATTTATGGACAGATTTACGTGAACTCATTAGTTCTTTGTGATTGACTTCAATTCTCGCACAGTCTAATATCTATATACATTGATATGGTGTGTTCTATGTTGCGTCCCTCGATGTAATGGAAAGGAAACAAAATTCACTTTCGGAATTTGAGTAAGACTTCATTTTTAAATTTATTGTTAGCTTGAAAGCTTATCAGAAAAAGTGACAATAAAATGACTTCTTTTACTAGTACAGCTGCTATTTCTCTCTCGAATGAATATTTTATGCTCGTTGTGACGTTTAATTCATATACCATGTTTTGTTGATGTTGTTATTTCTCTCTCAGTGGTTAAAACCGTCCAGATCTATATTTGTTGGTTAACATTACACTACCTTTCTTCCCTCGTTACCTACCCGTTTGGAACTTGTTTATATGCAGTTAATATTTCAGTCATAAATTTCAATTACCATTTACACGAGCATTACGTGAATGAACAAAAAATATAAACATTATACGAATCGCTTCGCATTTTATCAGTGATAACCAAGAGGACCACGTGTTGGTCCCTAAACTCGAAGAACTTCGAACTGGACAAAAAAACAAGCAGCAAATTGGGATGGGAAACAGTTTGTATATGTTTTCTAGTCAGGACATTGCTCCTTCACCGAACATAATCGATCCGACGGTCTTTAGGACACAAATCCTTTTAACATTTAGGCGCCTGTACGGGGAGTCGCATCTTGTGTCACGCATCAAAAAAGTGTAGGGAAATATGCGCAATAGCAGACTAGTGTTTCATGTTTGCGGACATTGATGCTTTTAATTTCTTTTAGAAATTGATACGTAATGAGCTATCAAAATTATCGTCTTTGTGGAGACGCTATACATCCTGGTGGTCGGACAGCTCCATGTGATCCACTGACAGAGCCTCCTGTAAGGCTACCTTCTGCTGAGACAAGAGTTTTTGATGGACGTAGTCCTTCACCATTCACAATAGCTCTCACCAACTTCTGAGTATCCTGACTGTTATAAGTCGGTATGTCTTGCTGTATTTCTGCCTGACTACGGGCATTCTCAGCCATAGATGTCAACAACGTCTCAATATGCTTGTTCATTGCCAATATTTGCTTATTTACCTGAAAAAGATTTCTTCGCCTATCTATCTAGTAACACGTTTCAATTCTAATGTTTAGAAACTAATGGAAGTTCATGCAACTTAGATTCGTTTGGAATTATGGAATTGGCTTCCCGCTTTCCATTAACATTTGCACTAAGCAGTTCAAAATATTGAACTAAAACAAGGTCAGAATTTAACACAATTTCAACACAGTAGTCTTTTACCACATTTAACATGATACACTAAATGACTGAGTAGTTTTACTGACATAACGACTTATATGCACTGATTCCTTCTTTCTTTCGTAGAATTTTATTCGACGAAATTTTCACACTTTGAATCTGATAGACAACAAAATTTGCAGAAATTTTGCATATAGAAATAACCTGATCAAAAGTTCGCGTATTCTTCTCATTATCAATATGTGATTCGTCGGCTTCCACTTCAGGAGTTAATTTTGTGCGCAAATAATCTGGAGCAGCATCATGATTCCAGCAGTGAATACGATTTGAAGTGGCTTGCTATAAATATTGATTCAAAATAAGGGTTCTGAAAGACGCATCCAACAAGAGGTCATGAGGCAAGTAACAAACTCTCAATGAATCTCTTTTTTTTTTTTTTCAGAAAAAAGTTTCCAGAAATTTTTTTGAAGCAATAAAAACTTCCTCTTTGCCATCTTAGTTCAACGACTCAATCTGCATACCTATTCCAACCTTAGGAAAAACTGCATAAAAGTCTAGCACTTCATAAGTTTGCAGCATTCTTCGTTTTGAGACGCCCATTTTGGATGAACATTAAGGGAAATCCATTTACATATTTCGCAGCAAATGTATTATATAAAAATGCACCTGAAGATTAGGATCTATATCATTTGAAAGGCAATGAGGTACCAGCACATGAGTTCTCAAAAAAAACCCAAAATCTTCGAATCCTGATGGCAGTGCTGACTTCTTTAATATAAATTGTAACTGAGTCATTGCACTGGCAAGTGATGAAAATTTGTCCAACATATCAGGCCTTAAAAGTTATAGAGTAAATTTCAAAAAAAAGTTAAAAAAAAACGGTTATTTCCTAGATTCATTTTAATAACATAATCAGAAATAGCGCTTCATTCATTTTAATAAAATAATCAAAAATAGCGCTTCGTTTCTTCACACGAACTCTACATACTCATACTCTTAAAGAAAGTGCATCTTTTAAAGTCATCAGATACCACGCTTACGGAACATCATAGCCCGGTCCACAAATTAACTAACAACGTACTGCATCAGCTTTAAGATTAAGGACCTTTGTAGGAAATGGACTGGACGAAAAACAAAACAGAAATCCTTCAAATTTAACCAAATGTCAAACTCAGAAAGAAAAATATCCCACATACCATTCCACTTCTTCCTGCAGATCAAGCATAAATAAGAGCTGCTCAATATTCGTTTTTACATCGAGCGCTTTATTTTCGATGTGAGAAATGGCACCCGCAAGACGTTCGGGTTCATGCTGATGACCGAATAATCCACCTGGTTGTGCATTCATCAATCTACATACAATAACTTATTGCTCAGTTCCTTTTAACAAACAATAAATGCTTCAACCAAAAGTTTATATTACTGATCAATCAATACATTTCAAAAAGATGCTATAATATACTCACTGCGTTAGACAGATTGTAGTAGGCAAAAGTATTTGTTGGAAATTAAGCTTGTCAGATACGTACGGGACATTCCCATATTTCGGTGTAATTTGAGCACCACTTCTCTTTATTACTTTAAAAAAAATTTCACAAATGCATGAGTTACATGTAGTGAGGAAAAACAGAAACAGAAATATAATTTAAAAATAGAAATCAAAAGTAGGTTTCTTTTATAGTTAACTTCATTTTATCCAAATCTCAACTCAATATTGTAAAGTAGTTCACTTTTAAAAATAAACTGAAAAAAATTATCTATCATCATTATTCTTTTCTGAGTGCAGCACTGATGATCCTTTCACGCATTCGTCTTCGTCTATTTTCTTCCTGTCTTATTAATTCATCATGATCGAAACTCAAGCTTATCAAATTTTCGTACTGAATTCCCGTAACATTTACCGCTGAAGGTGCTATCTACAATGCCAACAGATTTACTTACACGCATTGAATTTCTGTCGCAAGAAAAGTACAAAGTGCAATTCTTAAACATTTATTATCTTATCTTGCAAGAGATAAGTCGTAAAATTTGCTGAGCAATTAGAAATATACTGGCCGCTTACTTTGGTGAATTACCTTTTCACCACTTAAATTTTTGGAAAAAAAAAACCTGTTTCATGATAGCATCGTTGATATCCTCTTTGTTCTCTCGAAGAGCTCTCTCAACTTCAGCCACAACATTCGACGTATGCATCCGATCAAGCTCATGCGCAACTGCGGCACTTCGCCCTATACTACTGGTGCATACGATATTCGTCCAGAAACTTTCATCCAGTGGGACTGGATAACGTTCATTGGGTCGCAGATATCGCCGCTCCATAACGGGCTCTTGCCAAAACTCGGAAGAAACTAGACACGAGATGTCAACCTAAGCAGCCACAACATAAGAATGACAGCAGTAAAAATCCAACCTAGCATACTACTAATGCTTCCAACACATTTCAAAAATAAAAATCCACTGACCCACCTTACCTCTAATACCCTTATGCAAAATAAACATGAAAACTTATCAAGCCTATATTAATATCCATTTTAATTCCACTTTTTGACAATCTAAATCCTCCCCACTCCAATTAAGACTTCATTTCTTGATTTTGTAGCTCTCACTTCTGCTAAATTCTACAACAGCAAGTCTCTATAAATGTCTACAAGTAATTTGTCATAATCTATAGCTTCCCCTCATGAAACACTGTTCATTCATTTTAATATCACATTTTCAATACCAAACAAATGAGTAAAGAGGCAAGTATACATTTTTAAGAATTTACTTTTGTTTCAGACCTTGTTTTGCTCATCACAACCAAACTAACCGAACATGTATGTTAACATTCGCATACTATATAATAGCTTTGAAAATGAGCAAAATCAGAATGATAAGGAAACGAACAACATTAGGAGATAAGAACAAAAGAACAAGTAATGAATTGTTATGCAACAGACACCAGCTCCAACCGAATTTTAGTTACAACCAAATGTTTAAGGAAAACGTTTTCCATTTACATATTTTCTTTATTTGTAAAGCCGAACTACAGAGCTAATATAGCGAAAATGCATTGGAAGTCAAGGAAAAACAATGCCGGACCTGCTAACCGGTGTGTCATACGAATAACTCCCTGAAAGAGCCTTTGAGATAAGGTTACGAAATTCCACAGTAAGCTTGCACTATTCACCACTCATAAGGATACAATTATGTTGAGAAAATGACCATTTGAAAATGTATCAAAAGCATGCAGATCTGAGACATTAATAGACCAAGAGTTTTTTTCATGGACGCAAGTCAAACACGGAATGATGGTGTTGCCATAACGGAGAAAGCAAGGCTAGAAGGAAAACTAAATAACTGAAGAGCAGGAAAGAAAAAACATCATTGGGAAAAAAAGTTTAATTCACCTTCATATAACCAAATAAGGCACAACCTATACCTGCGAAGGTCACAAAAAAATATACATTCACATCAAAATTTTCAAAGAAAAAAATCAAATGAAGATTGAACTATGATGAATACTGCATAACCCTCATATGGAATATTATTTTGAATACATGGTTATATGAAACGGGAAACTACGATAATTCTTGGCTCGCGTCCACTACTTTTAATTATCAAAGTTGAGTTCATTTGAGCGAGACTAATGATAACAAAAAAATAACAATGGAAATGATACCTAGTTTTCAACTTATTCTTTAGTATTACGAAACCACACTTTCAAATTCGAAAACTAAATTACTGTTATAATTCAAGTTTTGATGCTTTGTTTTAATATCCTCGTTCCCAAATAATGCATACCAAAAGCAAAACCACGCACACCAGTGCAAACATCTAATGAAAATTCATTGTTCAGGATACTGGAAAACTATCGCATAATTTAATTTCTTGCAGAGTATTTTTGTAAATGCAGCATTTCGAAGGTACTTTCATACTTTTATGATGAACTCAAAGAATTTGCTAATGTGTATGAAAATTCTTAGAAACAACTGTCTTTTTCGGCATCTAATTTGTAATAATGCACAGAGAACCAGAAGTTAGAATCCTAAAGCAACGGTTAATTAAAATTCAAAGAAATATATTTATGAGATCAATTACTTAATGAGAGAAAACAACTACAATCATAACAAAAAAAAAAAAAAAAATATGCAATGCAATATGGGATACTGGTGAATGGACTTAAGTTATGGAAAGCATCAGTTTTTTTCTTTTTTTTTTTTTTTTTTTTTTGCTGAATTCGGGTAAACAAAAACCTATGTTGGCAATCAATTTGGTCGCGAAGCACCGTACATGAAATTCTCTTCCGCATAAAACCTTTCGGGTTTTGGATACTGGTACTCCAGAAAATCTGGCAAACCAACATCAATATAAGGCAAGGCCAATACCTGCAATGGGTACCTATCACTTGAAGCTATTCTTGGTTTACTCAGCAGCACATGTGAAGGACTCACTTTCGGAAGAAAAAAAGTTACCTCCCTGCCCAGTACATTCACGATGTATGACTTTCGCTGATTGCTGGAGGGTTTAGAGCGGAAATGTTCACGATTGCGCAACGTTTCCAAACTTGGAAGCATTGCATACCAATCGTACTTCCCGTTACGCGTCGGCACTACCATTTTATCAGTCGAAGGGACGCTATTTGCTACATTGAATACCGGCACTGAATCAGCATTTCCCATTGCCGATGTAGAAGCTCTGAAAACAGTGAGTTCCATTAATACAATTACATGGTCAAGATTAAATCTACTACTCACTCTCGTATGGAGACTTCCGAAATACATGTTTGATTGGGTGCATATCAGAAATTACATTTATAAGTTAACGAATTAATAAGTTAATTAAGGATTTACTTTTCATTGTCCACTGCTATCACTTTTTCGTTGGCGACAAATTGATCTTTTATCCTTCCTTCCTTTTCTTTATTTTTTTTAGAACGACCACGTTTCTCTTTCTTCTTAGAAGCTTCCGTTTGAATAAAAAGAATGGGCGTTCTAGATATGTGACCCGTGTCCTGAAAATTAAAGGATTATTGACACGAATTTGGAACCTTTTCAGCATGATGTTAATAACTGTTAACTGCTCAATATGTATTAAAAATGGACAATGGTCAAGGAGTGTTACAGTATTGATCAATTCAAAATGAAGAACATTTTTTCTTTAAAACAATTTTTTCTGCACATAATCTACTGCGCATTTAGTAAGTATTGCATACCATATTTGCCTGTCCTTCGTTATCGCCATGTTCACTTCCAGTGAGACGATGATTTTGGGATATGTTTATTGTTAAGTAGCCTGGTAAATTTTCAGTTAACTGTGCAACCAACTCACTCGTTGATTTCACATCAGCACGTCGAGCAGCAAGCAATGACTGATGTGGTGCTGTTGGAGACACTGAGGCAGAAGTGTAGTGCAGACGTTTCGTAGCACTTAACCCGTTTGTAGCACCTGTTAACATGTAACAGTGAATATGTACATCTCCACAGAGATGTACCTAAGTACATGAATGCTTTCATATGATACTGAATATCTTGCGTATGTTAATGATATATTGAATAGAGGTTAATTTGCACACAGAGAAAGACACTTAAGAATAACTCAATAAGCTTACCTATGTCAGAAGTTGCAATATCCCCGCCTTTTCTTTTTCCATTTCGAATAACTCTGTCATCTGATAATAGCGAATTTTCGACTGCTTTTATTGTGAGATCAGCACTAACTGCATGTGATTTCCATGTATTCGCTACAATATTCGCTGACATTTTTTGTTCAGATCTTTGGTAAGGAGTAACCGTTCGCCCATTTGAAAATGTTGGTGAAGCATCAGTATTCCACGAACCTGTGAGACAATCACCATCTATAATGCTTCACATTTATAATTACATTGACAATAAAAAAAGTGGGAAAATAATCACACCGGAACTTTCAGATGGCGTAGGAACTGAACTGGGCAAAGCTGTAAAGCGAGATTTTTCAGCAGGTGTAAGGCGTGGACTGCCACCGGAAATAACTCGTGGACCCCTCGCAGGGGTACCTGGCGTAAGACCCTTCTTGACTGCCGGAGAAGCGTAGCTGGGAGTACCATTGGCAGAAGAAGAACCACTAGACGTTGGTTTCGGTTCAGCCAATTTCTGCCAACATTTGATCAACGTTCGACACCGCTTCGATAGCTCAGGTGCTGACTGAGCCACTTTTTTCCGGATGTCATTTACTACAGCACCAACTCTTGTCATCTGCAATTCATATACATAGATCAAATCCTGGTAGTGAAAAGTGTAAAACAACCACTTTTGAAAAATGCAAAACAAACACACAATTTCCCTCATATTTCAATCACTCACTTCAATTTCTCACTGCAGTCTTTCATTTCAATTTCTTTCAACCGAAAGAATTTATATTTTTATTGCACAAACTAAATGTGCTATCAACGGTTTGCAATTTTTTTCGGGCGCCATAATATGCTTTCATGCATGTTACCAATACTTTGAATCTCATGGTATCTCTTTCAAATAAGAGTGTGAGATTCAAGGGCCGACTTCCGTATAGACGCCACATTTCTTACTGTTTGGCTTTGTTAGCTTTCCGAATTATTCCCATATCCGTACTATTTGTTTTATATATTCACAATCTTTTATATATAAACAAGACGTAAACAAATAACAACTAGTATGAATCTTAACAGAAACAGAAATTCACTACGATCTGGGCTGAAAGAGGGGAAAATATCCGTCATAGGTACGCGCCAGAATTAGCTGACTTATTTCATCGACATGATCTTTCCTATTTAATCCATCCAATTAGCTGCCAACAGCCATCGGTATGAACAGATGATCTACCTTCATTGAAGCACACTCTGCGTATAAGACTCGCAACCATCGACGTACCTAACAACCCGTCAATATATCGGTTGCTCTGGTGTACCAAAGCAGTCCCGGAGCTGATATGTCCAACCTCTCATCTCTCCACTCGCCCTGCATTACATTCACCACACCGAGCTATCACACTTGTCCTCGACACATCAAACTCCCTACCCTGTTTTCTTTTCTCTTCTTTCTCTCCTCCTCTCCCACAAACGATCTGAACAATAAGTAATCACCATCACTGCCTTCTGCACATGCAGCATTATGGGAGAAGAGCACTGCCATTCAGTTCACTTTGTCCATCGATCGCTCCCAGTGAGATCAAAGGAAGACGAGAGAGTAAGAGGAGAGATAGCTCCACCCGCAAACAGCCCGTGTGTCGACTACATGGGTTAGGTTCAGTCCTATGCGTGAATGCAGCGGGAAAAGGGTGGGTTGATCGAGTAGGTTAGATGTCAGAATGAATGCTCTCCTGTGAAGTAATCAGCGCTGCATGCCGTGCAGAGCAACCCCTCTCTACATCTGCGCACTCTCTGAGACGTAACCCAGCTCATCTCCTTCACTTCTCAATTTTGGGTGAAAGTCACTGATATTCTCACCTCGAGTAATTCCTTCGTCAAATTGGACTTCTCCAATTTAATGATCACATCCGTGGCCTGCTTTGTGTCGCCCTGCAAATAGTTGTACGTCATATTCCATCCTCGTCTGCTGTCGCTTTCTCGTTATGCTCATTAGTGTTAAAAAAAACATACCCCACCGCTGGGAATTCGAGGCAGTGCAACAGGTTAGCCAAATTACTTTATAGGTTGAGTCCCGGTTACTAGATTTGACCCATCCCTGTTAAGCATACACAAAACATCTTATGTAGCAGGTACTGATAGCAATACAGGAATACGTCATGCAACGGCACACGCTACATGCAGTGTCTACTGCGTTTTCGCAGTGGTGGATTGCTGGCTGATGGAGAGCATTGAACAACAGTGCTTACATTGTCATAGGCCTGAAGAAGTTGATGCTTGAGGCGATCAACGACAGTTACTGTTGTGGGTTCAACTGTTGGTACCGCTACTGATAAGCCGCTGTTGGATGCTGCCGCTGGGTGCTGCTGCTGCATGCAGCGCTTCTTTGCTGAGGGTACAGTCGTCACGCTACTGCTCGCTCTTTTCTTGCTACTGGTATTAACACCGCTGCCGCTACTGCTTCTTGCTGTTTTCTAGGTAAACAAGCAGCAAGACATGGATGAGTATGCATGCATGCGCCACTATTATCCCTCCCCCGCTTTGAACTCTAGAATGCAAATTATAATTGCGGGCTTATATCCCCAACGTTTCATTCCGGAACCACTCTGCAGCGGACAGCAATGCGGTACTGAGCAGTACAGCACGGCACAGCAGAGTACAGTACCGTACAATGGTACGGTACAACATGGCAACACACATCCACCACCCACATACCCTACGCCTACCCCATCCCCGTCCGATCAGAGCGAACCGTCCAGTCCAGGACTTCTTCCTCACTCTGCCCCGATTGCACCCGCCTTAGCCCTTTTATACCTCTTCCCATGTTGCCTCTGCCTCTCTACATCTTTTCCTGTATTGACCCTCGCATCCTCACCACCTGACCACGCATTGGGAGAGTATTGCGGCCCTACTTTTAGCTGTCTGCTATGCAATCAGTTGTCTCATCCCTGTCGTATGAGTTACGTGTGAGTTTTTTCTTGCGTTGTGCAAACTGGATGTTCGGTGATCGCTACGGAGTGTTAAGGCGACGATTTTATGGAGAAGAGCGTGCTATTTTTGCAAGTGTCTTGTTTTGGGACGTATCAAAAAATTAGTATATGAAGTCCCATAAGGACTGTTTCTGAAACCCTGTTTCAGATCCACTTCACCTTGTGGTGAAAAGCAGACAAGAACCAGAGATAAACACTATCATTTTATCTTATCCCGCTAAATCTTTGCAAGTCTTCCTTTGCTTCGCGTTTCTAATCCCGTGATGGCTTCTACCATCTGGTCTTTGTCAGATAAAGTTTTAAGTGACATTACTACATTTGTATTGGTTGTTTTATGAGCAGCCTCATACTTTATGACTTCACTTATTTTTCTCATAATGGTTGAATGGAAAAGGAAGAAGTTCATGATGACGAATGGATATTAACATTGGAATAGACAGCAAGCCACGAATTCGACGAGGACGTCGTCGCTTCGCTGATCGACTGGTGACATTGGCCCGTGACCGTAGTGACGATATTAGCGACTCCACTGGTATCATAAGTTTGATTCAATACTACTTTCTTCAACACTTCAATTCATTTTAGCTATGAGTCCTCAGAAAGCATTCATTTCTGCTTGTGCTATTGTATGTATGTATGGTTGTTCGAAGTATTAAAGCATGGTTGTATTCCTCTTTCAAGGCTTATGGATTCTCTGCATAGAATTCTTTTTTGGTTTAGTCACACAGTTTTATAAGTGAGAAGTTTGGAAAAGAAGATAAACTAATGAGCCGTGAATTGTCCTAATCAAAATTTTCATGAGATTCGAATATAACTCTAAACCTGCGCGTGAAGGAACGAGAAAATAGCGGTATTAGAAAAAGCCCATTGGGAAACATCTTCAAAGATACATCCACCACTACTATTAAAGGTCTTTTCTGCAAAGAATCCAGCCACGACTTGAAGGACACTATCAAACGGCCTCTTACAGGTCTCACTTTCAACTGGTCTTGATTTTTTATGTGCTTTTCTAGGGCAGGAATAGTAGAATTGGCCTGCTACTCAAAGCGCTGCAGTTATAAGCGCATCGATTGTTAATTTCTATCTGTATAGTTTATAAAGATTGCTCTATTGTCGGCCTTTCATCTTTTAATTAGTGAACTTTCATTATCATTTTGATAATTTTCATTATGCTTAGAGTTAAGCAGTTTTGGAGCTGTTTTTTTGTATTGTTAAATTATTGAATGGGTTTTTAGGGTTATTTCGAAGGCCAACATATCGCTCAAATTCCAAATTTGGGTCAAAGAGTGAAAACAAGGCAGAAACAAACATCGTTGCATCCGAAGCTTCGAACTGTAGGAATGGTTAGTGCGAGCTTTTATTAAGGAAGTTTCTAATCTTTATAAGGTTATTTTATCGTGAATCTTATACATAAGGCATAGTTAGAGAGGAACTGTCTTTATGATATTTATAGCAAGAGCCTTCTGTTATTTGGGAAGATAAATGATCTTTCATTTCAGAAAATCTCATTTCTCAGAGCCTGGAGGCACCTTGTTTGGAAGGGGTTTGTTTTTCATGCTTGCTTAAATTTCGAAATATTTCCTTAAGACAATTTTGTGGTCATGTATAATCGGCAATAAATTTCTTGTAACTTGTGGAAGAGTAAATTTCTTTATCCGTATTGGTATTTCGTTCTTAGGCGTTTGATCTTGCTATTATATGATTTCATGTTTGCAATAGGTTTTGCATGATGTTGCTAATGCTCCGGTCATAAACATCAATCAGGTATCAACCGTGTGTCAGTTCGAGTTTATGAATGCGAAAAATGTTTCATTAGCTAAATTGGATGATATAGGTAATTTGCTTCCAAAAAGAAAAAGGAAGTAACTTTTTTTTCTCTAAATACTTTGCGCAAAAAAATCGTGTTTTCAAACTGTTTTGTTCTGGTAAATTGAATTTTTTTTTTTTTTGCGTTATTTACCGAAAAAGATTTTGGGAGAACTCTGTTGAAATTTTAAAATTGTCGATTTTGTTTTAGATTTATCACTTCTGTCACGATTTTTGTGTTTGGAAGAAGAAGTGAATGATGAGAAAGTATCTTGGACATGGGACTATCTTTTTGGTAGTGTGAGTACAGAAATGCGCGACGAATGGACGCAGGATGAGGAATGTGATGATGGCGATTACAAGGTGGAAAGCTAACCAAGTAGAGACGTTTTTATAGTTTAATATTTTTCTTCATTGTATTAGTATGTGTTTATATCTTGTTATTTTAACTAGGAACACTCCCAAAATTTTTTATCATTTTTTATCGGTCTTTTGTAAAAAACAATGTACACTACTTCCTAACTTGATCCCTTATTATTACTATTTATCTTAAATGCAAAGGAGAAGCAAAGTTTTGTCTTTCCTATTCTTTCACTTTACCCATTTTGCAAAATAAATTGCGAAAACTTTGTCAGAGCTACCAAACGTTTTAAAAAAAATGCTATATCATTTGTAATTTAAGTCACATGGTGAAATTTTGATACATTTTTTATCCTCATGTGGTAGGTCCGGTTTTTTACTTTGTGGAGCACTCGATTCTCTATTGCCAGAATCCGAGCTCATTTGAATAGACATGCTGCTACTGTATACATCTAATACGAAAAATAAATAAATAGAAAAGTCTTGTTTTGTTTTCTGATCGGTCACATTTTTGTTGAGAAGGATCAGCTAGAAATGCTTTCAGAAGGGAGTGGGTTTTTGTATACTCCAAATTAAATTATCTGCGATTTTTTGGGTGACACTAGATCAAGAGCTTTTTCTTTTTTAATGTTCCGAACTTTCGAAGAAGGATATAGGTCATTGGTCGTAAAAAACGTTAGTCGTGAAAAAATCGCAACTGAAATAAGAGAATCAGAAATGCTGAAAATGCACTGGAAAACCATAAATTACAGGATGAAGGCCGTCATCGAATAGTTTTTTTGTATATACGTTAGCTTTTAGCAAAATTTATGCTTCTGATTGTTTCTCAATTTAATGAGAAGAGGATTTTCTCAAGAGCTAAAAGGGCTGGAAGAAAAAACTTATGAACTTAAAAGACCACATGAAACTTTTGCATTATGGACCAATCATTTATACAGGAGTTGTTTTGTGTTGGACTTAAAATTCAGTTGCTCTAAGTAGCTGATGATTCTCGACAACTGTATCTATTATATTGTTTTGTGAGCTTTTATTTCTTTGTATAATAGCTGAGTAGCAAAAGTTTCATGTGTCGAAATGGTTAGCCGTGTTGTATAATAAGTTTGCAATCTCTGAAAATATCATGATAGACGTCTCAGCGTCAAGCTCTGATAAAGGATGTATTCAGATATTACTTAATGATATATTGAAAGAACAATGCAATAAAAACTATGTTTACCCCTCTGATGTGTGAATTAAATCTAATGAAGACAAGAGAGTAAATATATTTGTTTTTAATGTAATTAATCTAAACCCACTCATGTTGGCAAAATATTTGATGATCAGAGAGCACATCATTTGCAAATAGAGTGTGTGTGAATGCTTTTGCAGTTTAAGGAATTTGGTAAACAGATAAGAGTTTGGTGTTTGAGTGGAGAGAATTCGTTTGGTTGTTTGTTGGTTTTTTCATCAACCGATTTAGTAGTTTTGCTTAAGTGTAAAATGATGAAGCAAAACCCAACCATTATCCAAGAATTCATGGGTGCTTCGTACTTTTCTAGAATGTATTTTGATTTGGAGAAAATTGAAGAAGGTTCCTACAATAAAGTATTGGTTATTTGAATTGGTTATTCAGCATATTCATAATTAGTATAAGAAACCTGGAAAACTTCCGACGTTCTATAGGTATCTCTAATCGTTTATTTTTAACTAGTACTAATGTTATGAACTATGGATAAATCTTTCGCAGAGTACGACTGGAAGCAGGATGGGTTCCCTATATCGCAGTGAACTAATGTCTCTTTGTCAGCTCTTTCTGCATTCCGAGATGGCATATGATGAAATAGCGAAACTTGGCGAACTGGGTGTCGTACATTTCATTGATGTTGGTTAACTTATGATTTCTTAGAATGTTTAGGTGAATTTGAATCACTAAAGTATAGAATAAGCATCAGATTAGTGTAATCGGGAAGTGTTTCATGATTTCACATGCGGAATAGGCGGTTTATTTTCTTTACTTAATAATTTTACCAAACCAGGATAAAACTAAAGGAAAAGTGAATATCTGCATATTCTGCCGAAACTTACAACTCTCGCTAATACTTCCTTCTACATTTAATGTTCTTATCATGCTTAATCCCATCCAGAATGTGTTTCATAATTTGTCATTCTCTTTTCAACCTATCTCACATGGCTTTTCTTTTCTCTTTATTGCGATTGCAGGTTCTCAGTGCTAGGTCGGTCCACTAACTCGACCTGTTTTTTCAACAACACTATTAATGATTGGTATTAAAAATTTCAAAAATACTACGGCTTTAAATATCACGGTTTAAATTAAACAATTGAAATTAAGTATGACAAATAATTTAGCTATAATTTTCATCCGTTTTACTGACTGCCTTTATTTGTCTAATTTTAGCCGGAAATTTCCTACATTTCAGTTGAATTCTGAAATGAGCTCACTCCAAAGGCGTTTTGTTGGTGATCTGAAACGATGCGATCTGCTTGCGCAAAAATTAAGTATTATTCTTAGTCTAATTTTATATGACGTTCTTTTATTCCACTCAATCATTAGTTATACTATTCAGTCATATAAAATATATCTTAAAAGAATCGAACAATATTTTGTATATTCAGTTAACAAGCATTATTTAGAGTTTATTGAAGAACAGATTCTAGCAGATTCCATCCCAATACCGCGATTAAATGAGTTTGTTCCTGCACCACGACCAAGCGAAATGAACACGCTCGAAGTACGTCAGATACTTAAGTATTCTAAAAAAAAAAGTGTAGATAATAAATTACCGTATACGACATTCTAAACTTCCCCACTGAAAACAACTTTAAAAAACTTTCCTAATCAGACAGTTTGCTTTAGTACTTGTAATTACCTTCAAATCTTGGAAATTCGGGATTTTAATTAAACTTGTTCTGGAATCAATTTTCAGACTGAAATTGAGGAAATTGAAGAACAACTCCTAGAAAACAACAAGAATATGAAAAATTTGATGAATAATTATGCACAGCTAAATGAATGCATGCAGTGCATCAATAAAGTGCAGCAACTCCTCACAGATGTAAGCATTTGAGTATAAGTAAAATAAAATGTTAATCTTTTTGATGAGGAGTTCTCGAAACTTTCGAAAAAGCGGGAAATGAAAAAGTAATTTGATAACACCAATTTTTTAAAGAAACAGAAACAAGATTAAGCAAACAAAATTTCCAACAAATTTTTATATTTGTAGGGACAGCGACAACAAGCTAGACAGTCATTGTTAGGAATGGAAAATCCAACTTCCGGTATTGGTGCCATCCGTCGCAAACTGACCAATGTGATGATAGGGAGAAAGGACAGCATTATCCCAGACCGGATGTCAAGTATATTCTCCGGCGAAAAGTTAGATGTTAAATTTCGTCTAAAGCATTATTAGTCTAAAAAGTTAGGATTTGTGATCAATTCATTGCTTTTTCGTATTTCTTGTCAAATTTGAACTATTGTATGCATTCTGCTTAATGTAAAATGAGTATGTTTTAGGTAATCAATACTAGACCGATTAGTTCCTTCCTTCCACTTACTTACGCAACCTTATTTCTCATTTCTTTTTGATTTCTTTAGTAATTTTGGTAACAAGTACTTCAAAATCTATAAATTTTACAGTGTGTAAAAATTTAGTGAAAAACTTAAAGTTCTAAGAATAATTAAGCGCAAATATTTGTTAAATAAATAAAGTTATTGCAGTTTTGTTGCCGGAATTGTGGAACGCTGTCATTCAACGGCATTGGAACGCTTACTTTGGCGAACGTGTGGTCTGAATGTTTTTGTACGCACTGTCACTATTGATTTCAGCGAAGATCCTTTACTTGTAGGTCTTTTTAGTAATTTTGATTTGAATAAAACAGATATCCATTCTTCCCTCTACATTTTTTCTCCCCGATCATTTCTTTTTTAAATAAACATTTGTGTTAGAAATTGATTGATTAGTCATCCAATATCATTTAGTAACAAGACTTTTGGATATTTCATTTTCCAATTCCATATTCGAAAAATTTGTTTGCATTTTTTTCTGTCATTATGTTTTTTCAGAATGATATAACACCGAAAGATGTCTTCATGGTATTTTTCTCTGGTGCAGTACTTGGATTGCGAGTGAGAAAGATATGCAAGTGGTTCGTTTCAGTGAAAGTGTCGTATTTTTATGGTGTAGTGTTATTTTCGAGTGGGAAATTAAGTTAGCAATTGATTTTAGCTACCAAGCAAAAATATACGATTATAAAGATCCAGCAAACAACCGAGTATTACATGTAACAAGTTTATTTGGACGTGTGGCTGAAATCAAATCGATCATTGAAGAAACAAGGAAATATCGTAACACATTGCTCCGAGCAGCTGCTTTCAAAGCTCATGAATGGGACATAAAAGTTCGTTAAACGATCTATTTTATTATATTTTATTTGAAATATCTCCTGATTTCTTGCAAACTGTGTTAGAAATTTTGATTACTTTCTAAGTATCATGTCATATGCTTAGAAAGTAATCAGTCTCTCTAAGTTTAGTTCAATTGCAAATTGAATGAAAATTTATTTGTTTTTAGTGCTAAAATGACTTTACAGCTCAACCTAAAATTCCGGAAAAGAAAAACTTCCTTTTTTAAACAATGGTAGCGAAAGCAAAAATATCCGTTAAAATAAATTTTTGTAAAATGACAAAATAAATTCTGAATAGTGTCATAAGCTCATATTAAAAGATAAAAAAAAAAAATCCAGTTGCAAAAGATGACCGCTATATTCATGGTGATGAACATGTGCAATGTTGACATCACTCAACGATATCTAATCGCTGAATGCTGGATTCCGACAGCTGATATAATACGTGTTCGAAAAAACTTCGATAAAACTGGCATGGTATATTATACAATATTTGTTGCCATTTATCCTAGAAGTAAACGAAATTGATAAAGTCAAACGAATCACGATGAGGCTTCAAATTAAAGTATTATGACTTAAATAAAGCTTGCACAGGAAAAAAACGGCTATGTCTTCTTGTGCCAAATTGAAACGAACAAAGTGCCACCAACATATTTTCGTGTCAACAAATTCACAAAAATTTTTCAAAGCATCGTTAATTCCTACAGTATAGCAACTTACCGCGAAATAAATCCAGGTTATCTGTTTTGTTTCGTAAACAAGACATCATGACCTTTTTAATAACCATTTCATTTTAACTTTTATATATAACACCTACTTCGGACTACTGTGATATTTTAGCTCCATGGACAATGATAACATTTCCATTCCTATTCGCGGTAATGTTCGGCGACGCTGGTCATGGCTTAATCATGTTTTTTGTTGCTCTTGCGTTCATTCTATTCGAAAATAAAATCAAAATCGATGATGAAGTCTGTTAATAATATATTATACGCAGGATTCTTAAATTCTGCATTCTTTTTCATAATACAATAATAAATCAGCAATCAAGCTTATGTGCTTTGAGAGATTTCGTTTCTGTAATGTTTATAAAAATTTGCAAAGTTTGTATAAATTTGTACTTTCAAAAGTTTAGTCTTGGGAAAGTTTTAGGAATATTGCAGATAATGGGATCATTCTACTGTGGACGTTATATCATTCTTTTAATGGGACTTTTTTCAATTTATACAGGCTTCATCTATAATGATTTTTATTCGCGTTCGATGAATTTATTTGGTAGTAGCTGGTACAATCCTTACAAGTAAGATTTTGTTATCTTTTGCTTGTTTATGTCTTTTAATTGTTTAACAGATGTCAGGAACATCTGGATTAATTTTTAAAGAAGTCCTCAAAGAAAATTATTATTGCATTAAGTACTCAATATACACTCATGCTTGCCACTTACCGCTTACATTTTCATTACCTTGCTTTGTATAAGAATAGAATTTATCACAATTCCATTTCAATACTATTATCATTCAAATACTGTTATTATCATAAAAACTTTAAGATCTAGTTTGTTGGAATTAACGCCAGTTGATATGCAATTTGATTTAATATTGCCGCCACAGTATGCCTACGACAGAGACAAAGTAAATTCTCATTTGTTCTGAAGAGCAAACTAGATTTTTACCATTTTTTGAATTTCTTCATTCTTGATTGAACCACTGTGCTTTCGCTTTCGAAAAGATTTCACTTTGCTAATAATTAAAGGAAATATCGCTTCTTGACAACTTATACGAGATTTGCAGGGTCCATATGTTTTTGGTTTAGATCCTGTTTGGAATTTGGCAGAAAATCGGCTAACATTTACAAATTCAATGAAAATGAAAGCATCCATTGTTTTTGGCATCATACAAATGACGTTTGGTGTTATACTGAGCTTAATGAATTACTTGTTCGTTTCGGTTCTTTTAGTCGTTATTTCTTTTCAAAAAAAACAAGTAATTTTTTTTTTTTTTTTAAAGGACATATGGTACAACAGTTATGGAGAAAATTAAGTTATTCAAATTAAATTAACAAAAAAAAATTAAAATTAAATTAGTGGTAAGAACTGATGTGCATAATTTTGCAGGTATTTTCGATCAACAATTGATATTTACTTCACATTTATTCCACAGATTTTGTTTCTATCCTGTATGCTGATTTATCTATGTATTCAGGTAAAGTTTATATTTTCACTCAATGGTTCTCTGATTTTGAGAAATGTAAAAAAATTTTGGTAATACTTTTACTTTTCTTTCTTCTTGTAGGTTTATTTATTCATATATATATATATATATAGTCGAGTTCATTTATTCAGTCGAGAGATTTTGTCTAATTCTTCTCACGAAATTTCTAAAAAAAAATACCTTAAATAAACAGCTATATGTGAGAGTAACAGACAGATATCATCTCTTTTATAGATAACGGTTAAGTGGTTGATGTTCAGCTCCATACCGGGTAATGTTTTCGGCTTCTTTTATCCAGGATCACATTGCGCTCCATCACTTCTGATCGGATTAATCAACATGTGCATGCTAAAACCACGGAAGGAAGGTTTCTGGAATCGATCTTCATCTAGCGAGTTCGAGCAATGTTATTTACACGAATGGTATCCAAATCAGGTAATAAAGTTATTATAGTGATATATAATGAATTAAAAATAATGTATGGTTCTTGAGATTCTTAATATGGTCAGTCGAATTCATAAAATACGGAAAGAAAATACCGTAACTTGAAATTAAGACTGTAGAATGCAAAAAAAAATTATTTGTTCGGTTCCATCGCACTGAAGTCATTCTAACTTTGTAGTGTAGGAATTATTCATATCAGTTTCCAGTTACTCTTCCGATAGAATTTATCCTAACAATATTTTCATTTTTAAAAAACGAAAATCAAAAAGTTCGAATCATATGACTGCAGGGTATGGTCGAGAAAGGTCTTTTAATGCTGACTGTACTTTGCATACCAGTAATGCTTTTAGTGAAACCTATTTACCTAAAATTCAAAACTCAGAAAATCGCACATGACGAAGTTGCCAACATTGATACCTATGCAGTGAAGGTTGGTTCGAAAACTATCCTACTCATTTGCACTGCAGAAATCATCTCATTTTTTCAATGGCGTATATTTTTCTTTATTTTATTATGAGCACATGAATATCCAATACTTTGAAATATACAGCAAAGGGTTACAAGAGAGTTGCTTTGCTATATTTAATTCCTTTAATGAATTTCGGGATTTGGTGGAAAATTTTTCACTTTTATGTGAATCATAATAATTTACAGTTTGATTTTATGGATGTTATGATGTACCAAGGAATTCATACGATTGAATTCGTACTTGGATGCATATCACATACTGCCTCTTATCTTCGCCTTTGGGCACTTTCTTTGGCTCATGCGCGTAAGTATTTCATAATTCACTTTGATCTAATTTCAAAATCTTTTCTGAATCAAACAAAAATTCAAACTTAACTGGAAGGTTCTTGGAATTCAAGGGAAAGAAAAGTTTATTTAATTGTAATTCCAGAGCTTTCTGAAGTTCTGTGGTCAATGGTGCTTAGTATGGCCTTTTCATTGAATACTTGGTTAGGTGGTCCAGTGTTGTATCTTATATTTTGGCTGTACGGAATGCTCACATTTGCTATATTGATATTAATGGAAGGACTTTCTACTTTCTTGCATGTGTTACGACTACATTGGTACTGCTTAAATTACCAACAATTTTTAGATTCCGGAATTAGCTGCGACCACTATTTTGTATAGGTTATGAAAATATATATTTTAAGTGTTATTTAACTATTTTATATGCATTTCTGAAAATTGATTTTCCTACGAATTATTTTTTTCAAAAAAACTTCATTGCAGGGTTGAATTTCAAAGCAAATTCTATGACGGTCATGGATATTCGTTTAAACCCTTTGCATTTACCCAAATGAAATCCTTTGAAATTGCTAATAAGAAAGATAAAAATGTAATTTGTTAATTTCTTATGCATCTCATGAAATAATAAAGTTAATATGAAAATTTATTTTCTCTAAATCAGCTAAACGACTGAAGCAGCATTTATAAGCAAAGTTGCAGTAAACCACAGCAGATGTGATCACAACTTGATATAATTGCAGTGAAAATAATGGACTATAATGTTCATGATATTGAAATGTTATGGCAAAGTTAAATGGAGAAGGAGGTGATGGTTGCACAAAACAGGACAATTTAAGCTGTTATTTCAGTTGTATTTCAAAGAACAAAAATTCAAAGTAATTAGCCGCCTAAATTTATGTTTAAATCAGTAATTACAAAATTTAAATGTTCGAAAAATATGAGAAAGTCAAAATCTAGAATATGTAAATGATTGAGAGATTCAGCATCATATGGGTCGAGGACTAAATATCTTTCAAAATTTATTGAAACAAAACATGAAAATCAGTTACCGTGCTTTCATGTTCTCTAACGACTGCATGATAACACTTAGTATTTAAGTTTTGAAATTTATCTGAGATGTATTTTGCATTTCTATAATCTGAGAGACGGTCTTTCTTTAAACAAACTTGCAAGTATCTGTTGCAGTGAGTTCTTATTTCCAACATACAATTGCCGTAAGTAGGAATTTCTAATGAATAATAGCAAAGAATTTTAACTAGTCAGATACTATAAAAACCATATGAGCGGCACGAGTGAATTATGCAATTATCCATATTTTTCCAGAATCTTCCGAAAGTTACTTGCAAAGGTCACCAGCTTAAACAAATAATATCATAATTGTGATATATCATAATTGATATATCATAATAATATCATAATTTATCAAATAAACAAAGGAAATAAGATATGGCAACTGCGCCGACACAGAAAGGAGAACCAGCATTATCTGTAGATCCAGAAACGGCAGTTTTTCTTGCGAATGGCGGGAAATCAGAACATATGCTTGTTAACATAAGTGAAAAGCGACTTGCTGTAAAAGTGGGGATCGTTTATTGCTTATATCCGCTTGACAAATAAGACTTACAAAATAGAGAAGTAGAAAGGAGAAGAATGTATATGTTAGTGTGGGTAAAAGGTATCTAAAATATTCATAAATGCTACTGCCATGTCATTAGAAAATAATGAGAACTTAGTTGGCTTTCAAGTTAATTCTTGTATTATTAAAAGTTACATCACTCTCAAGGCTAACATATAGTAAATGACAACGACTAATGACATTTCAGGAGTGATAATCTTAAATATATAATTGTAGGTACGTTGTAGCGATAATAACTTGTTCCGAGTAAGCCCAGTTTACATGTTCATTGAGCCAGGTTCATGTGGTAATATTGTGATAACAAGACTGCCTGGTATTTCAATTCATTGATTTATAAAATCCAAAATAAATTTCTACGTAAAGGAGTGATAGGATTATGCGGTCCAGAAAAGAAAGCATCAACAAAGCAGGAATAGTCACTGAAGTTGCAGTTTTGTCTTAACATTTGTGCTGGGATGCAACATTCTTCTTCTTTGATTCTTGATCATTACAGGAATTCAAAATACGATCTTTAAAACAATAGTTCATAAATAGTTGCAAACAAATCATATTTTATGGGATTAATTTTGAGAAAAAGGAAAAACGATCATGAAATTAATTTCTATTATATAAATACATACAATTATGTTAAATGCCTATACCTGTTTACAGGTCCAGCAAAATCTGATAAATTAGTATTCCATTATTTCGTTTGTGAGCCAAATGATTTGGAACCAAAAGAAATATTTAAAATAAATTCACAAAGGTCACCAGAAATGCTGAAGATGCCAATAAATATCATTTCTGCCGAAGATGTTCCTAAAGTGAGACTAAAACATGAACTACTACATTTCAAATTTATCCACTGCTTAAGTCTCTTTTCCTTGTCCAAACTACATTTGTGCAACCATACTTTTTGGCATTCAACCGACAAAACACTGGTCGGAACGATTTGTAATTTGATAATTTATTCTACATAAAATGAAGAACCGCGCACATATAGCATTAGCAACACAGCAGTGCGTTATTGCAAATCAACACTTATTATTAACAGTTGTTGCAAACGAAAGGAAGTAAATATTTAGGAAATTATGGAAGATAAGTTGTACAATTATAGAACTTGATTTGCACATATTATTTATTCAGATTGGACAATCACCAGCAACTTCGAATCAACATTGATTAGTGGGAATATGAGTTGCAAAGGAGAAAATTAGCAGAGGTGAAAATGAAAATTACAAGTTATCATACTTTGCCGTAAATTTGGTATTTCAGTTAATCAACATTTCATCTCTACATATTAAAATACTTTTGTCTTGTCTTGCAGTAGCAGTACTGAGGTGCTAAGCTATTAATCCATTACAGTTGTGCAGCTTCAAATTCCAATAATATTTTATTCCAAAGGTAAACGAAATGATAAAGTCACTGGATATTTTTATCCGTAAGCGGAAACTTGCTTGATTAGAATATATTCCATTTTTTGATCCGAATTTATAGATAGCACAGTTGTGCAGCTTCAAATTCCAATAATATTTTATTAATCCAGAGCCAAATACAATAAACGCAATCCAGAGCCAAATACAATGACGTCAGAGTGGCGTATACGAATTGAATAGTAAATATTGAATGAACAGTAGAAAATAACGCGCAATAAACGAACAGTAAAGTGGCGAACTCATTCCACACTCGTTTCATGCAATCCACATGGTCAATAAACATACAATTTTGTCAAATGAAATAATACGTGAGGTCCACTGTGAGATACTTTGTTTTGTTGGCATAATGTAAGAATATTTCTCAAAGAATAAAATCATTTTATGTGATAGGACAAAGGAATAAGAAATTCTGGAAAAAAAAAACAATGTGCTCCCTTACCAATTTTCCTCAGAAGGGAATAGGTGCTTAATTCTATAGTGGTGAGCAAAAAGACGGCCAAAAAATAAATCTGTCGTTAGCAAATTAGCATTTACAATGAAGTACATTTATTGTACATTTACTATTTATAACGGATTGATTTATAGCAATGAATCATTAGCGTTATTCTAAACACTTAGTGTGTAATAAAGATTTTTCGGTTTTCCAACAAAATCAGTGCTTTCTTAATAGTAGTTGGCAGGTAATTATACTAAATTTCCGAAAGATAACGGAACATTTAAAATTGTGAATTAATATGCATTAATAATAAAAAATGAAATACCCACACTCTGGTGTATGAAATATTTCTAGTTTATTTCAGCACTCCGGTGATCTTTGACTTCCATAATTAAACTTGATGCTACAGTCCGACGCGTCACTGACGGAAATAATCAACTTTTGATTTTACGTAATGCATATGCACATGACATGAGTACCCTAGTAAATGATATGAAAAGAAAGAAGACTACGAATTTTTAGTTTTTGATAAGACTGAAATTAAAATAAATAAATTTACTTGCAGGACCACCAAGAAGCATCACAACTTTAATCACTAATCAGTGAGTTGATAGCAGTATGAACGGTATCCATAAGAAATGAAATCCGGAAATAACCGAAAATTCTTGGCGTGAAGCTATGCGCAAATAATATTAAGATCATCACTTAAAATCCTGGTGATCAGAATTTTGTCAAAACAAATTTCTTCATTGTGATTTATGGAGAAAATCTTTTTATTTAAGGTTATACTCAAACCTTGTTTACTCCGGATAGTTAATGTTTCACTTGCTGAACATTATTTTTGTAGTACAAACTTAGTCTTAGCAGAAGTTGGCGCTTTTATTGATATCATTGTCATCTGACTATTTGATTATTTCTGGTGCATGTAATATCAAAAGTTCCAGTTGAACTGATTTTTAATTCAGATTTATAAGGGCAAATGAATCTCTAGACTTCAAATCATGCTGAATGAGCATACTTTTAGATTGCTTTAGTTTTCTTTTTCCTCTTGTCTTATTTATTTTGTTTATTGAGACGAGATAGAATCAATAAATAGGCGATTAACCTGTTGAAATAATTGAACACATTCTACATTAATCAATTCTACTCTGTGAAAGAAAAACTGAGTGTCGTGGTTCGGAATATTCAGTGCTTCCAGTTTTTTCACAATCTAAATATATAATAATTAAAAATGCATTCTCTTTATACAGCGCTGATCTTTCTTCCTCCATTTTAAGAAGTTTTAAGCTATTTAGATAAAACTGAAGATAAAACTTTACTGAACTGAAAGGATGAATAAGATTTCTACAATTTGTGCACTGACTTTATGTAAAAAATAAAAATATTTTAAAATATTAAAACAATGAATAGAAAAAATTTATTATAAACATAGCTGATCCTAAAACTGTTTGTCTCTCTATGTCAATGCATTTACAATGGCCTTGATGAGGTCACATTTATGAATACATTTCACTAAATATTCCACTACCTTTATCTAAATATAGTAAACAACTTTAAATATTGCGCATATAACGAATAATGAAGCAGCGAAATAAGTTGCGAAATATATTTAAGTTCTGAGTATTTCTTCATTTTTTCATTTAAACTATCAATGAAGTCAATGTGGTTGTTATTCAAATATTTCTTTTTTATTGCTGCAGTATGCCATAATTCGAAATGCAACAAAACAAAAGGTAGAAAAGGAGTGACAAGTACTGACATCGGATTCAATTCAACTTGCTATTCGTAGGTTTCTTAACATTACTAGAATTGTTGAGAGACATTAGTAGAGTTACAAGCATAGTATGACGGTGTAAATTGACTGGCATAATAAATTGCATTCTTACACTTGATTTTGAAGAATCTATGCGATGATTATCGGTATTCTTTGCTATCTCCTCATCGGTCATGCTAACTTTTTGCATAAAATAATTTTTATGCAAAAAATAATTGGGTAATATCTGAAATACTAAATCATTGCAGATTTTTCGGAGAATTCAGAGAAAACGGATCATTCCAGCTCACAGAGCCTCTCACTACTGTTTCGTGTAATCAAGGAGTAAATCATTGTTTTGTGGAAGTTCGTAAGAAAAAAAAAAATTAATTTAAGCAAAATTCATCTACAGAGGTAAAGTAAGTGAAGAAACTAAAATCATGAAAATCCAATTGAATAAGTCTAATATTAGAACTCCGCTTTGTTTTTTATTGTCCTATCCTGAAATATAAATTAGGTTATGAAAGTAAAAATTTTAATTCAAAACATTATTAATGAGAAGACAAATATTCCAATATGAATTCGAATATTTGTCTTCTCATTAGCGAACATTTTAGTTCCTTGAACTTCATGATTAGAATGCTAAATTTCGATATAATATAAAAAATATCATTGTGTAGATATTATGCAGTGCTATAGGAAATATATTAATTTACAGTTTTATCGTCTTGCTTACTACACTTGGTTTAATGGACAATGTGATAATTCATTTGCTTGTATCTATGAATCCGATTACACATTCAGTAATGGATGTCAAGCGTTAGCATATTATTATATTGTCTCAGAATTGTCAACCAGTCACTAGAAACCGATGTGTAGTATAGAAAAATGTGCAGTCAGTTGATTTAATGAGTAAATGACGCATAGTAAGATTACCTTGCTTTTGATTTAATGAGGAAATGACGACTATTTTATTTTAATATTTTATTTTCACCTTCATTAATTCATAAACTAAAGGAATAAGATTATAGTGCATAATCTTCATTAATTGCGCATGTTTGTTATCAGTGATGTTAATCTATCTATATCTTAACAACGCTTTTTATTTCAGGACACTACATGGTGGCGATCGATGTTGCTGTAGTAATAAATTATGTAATTTTGACATAATTTTAAAAGAACGTCCTTGTTTTGCTAAGTATCTACCACAACAGCAAGTTCTGAAAAGTAAAAGTGTACCATTGGAATTATACTGTGGAAAAGTTAAATCGAAATCAAATTAAGAATGAAACCGTTTATAGAAGATCATAATATTGTTATCTGTTTCCAACTTATTTCTATTAGCTTAAAAAAATTTTAACCTAATATTCACCAAACTTGCTAATTATTACAAAAAAAGGGCATATGCAAAGACCAACTTTAGATTTCTGACTTGTTGTTTTTGAATCTTCAAAAATATATTGGGAAAATAATCAGACAGATGTTTACATATGTTAATTCTATTCTTACATTTCTTTTAACCCAAAAATAAAAAAATAATTATAAAAAAAATTTATAATAAAAATAAAAAAAAAATAATAAACTTTATCCTAACCTTTCATTGACAAAACATTTCAGATAGGCTAATTTTGTATATATATTAAAGAAGTTACATAAATGAGAAAAGAAATAACAAGTTTTGCAACAGTGTTAATATATCAGCAGATGCTGGCAGGTTTACTTTTTCTTGACAAAAGAACAACGATTGATTTAGGGCTTTTTGGAAGAGCGCCGATTTGCGGTCTTATCAAGAATGCGTCGCTGGATAGAAATACTAACAGAATTCATGGTTATCAACGAGAAAGAATATACTTTTACTAAATACATACATTACTGCTATGAAATCATTGAGGAAAAGTGAGCAGAAGAAAAGAACTTTAGAAGAAATGGAATTTTTGAAAAACTATCAGAAACGTGAGGTTACAATTTCAATTGATGCTAAGCACCGAAATAAAATTATTGAACATTGTAGTGATGCATATTCGTATTAATTTCCATCCTTAGATGAATGCTATCGTATTTATCAGATTCCCTACAGTAATTTAAATGCTAATTACGACGGTGATAGAAGTGAATTAGCTTACGGTACGAGTGCATAATTGCTGGGAGCTCTATCATGAGAAGTTGCTTGATGTTAAGGAAGTGGCCATAAAAGAGAAAATGGATTTGGTGAAAAAGATAACACACAATTTTATTATACATTATACACAGGACAACATGATGCTATTCGAGTGGGCTTCATGATCAATAGAAATTATGAAATGATGACTCAAAATCGGACTTTTTACGACATGCTGGATGGCATCTATGTGAAAATGCATCCTACTGAACCGTGCAGTAATATTTGTTGTGTTATCATGAAATTAGTCAGAACTAATGAAGTGGAACTGGAACAGGCAAGTTGTGATCAGACGTATATGACAATTTCTTCTGTCAAAAACGAGGAAATGGTTAAAAAAATTCTTAACTCTTAACTCTAAAAAAAAAGTTCTTAACTCAGCAGCTACCTTCATTCAATCGGCCTTTTCTCTCGATCTTATTCACTATTTATGATGTTTAAACTATATCACTAGAATGTGTAACTGATATGATATACACAGATCTAACATACATGTTAACGCCTTGTGTTGAGTTTTTCAAATGTTTTAAAAAAGTGCTACTTTCAAAGAATAAATTCAGCAACTCTTCTTTTATTTTTCATTAGCAATATAAAATCTTGAGAGAGATTGAAGACATCAAAGAGAAAAGAAAATGCTACGTGAATGCGTCCTACTGAACCATGCTAAATGACATGCACTTAATTTTAAGCAAAAAGTATAAATACTGGATGATTAGACGAATGTGGAAAATAGCAGCTGTTTAACATGGAAAATAAATTAGTAGTGAATATCACTAAATACTTCAGTACTTTGCAAATTTTTTAATTTCTTTCATTAGTAATATGAAGTCTTATCAATAATAATAAAAACTTGTGACTATGCTTTGATTAAGATTTAATCAGAAATTTACTCTGAAATTTGGGCTGAGGCACAGTAAAAGTTTTATTAGCACTAAAATTGCTTAATTCAACCATCTGCTTTTGGGAAGTAAAGATAATTATAAGGATGTAAACAGATATATAAATAGAAAATTAGTTATTTAAATTGCAATTGGACATATTCGAAAGACATGAACTTTATATTAAGGATGGCTGAGAAATTAGCTTAAACATCAATTAATCTTTCCATTTAATGAAATGTTTATATAAGTGCGGGAGCTTCACAAATATAACTCAGTGCTCGTGTACGATTATCACAACTCGTATACACCATTTTCACGTCGGATGTTGCTCGTGTGTCTGCGAAAAATACGACACAGCAAACACCGGAGCAGAAAGTGTCTTCTTCTCGGTTTGGATATTTCAGGTCAGTTTTGTCTAGCACGTCATAATGCTTACCGTTCTGCGAGATCAGTTCATATTCTCGACTTATCATAAAGCCAACTTGGATTGCTTGTCGATTAAACGATCGATGATTAAAATTTTTTATCATCTCTTTTACAAAGTTCATTTTCTCAGCAATGTGATCCAGACCTGTTTTCAGTATTCACTACATATTTGTTTGTCTAAGAATTCATTTAAAAATGACTTCAGAATCAAAGAAGAAGGAGGAAATAATTTCAAGGTTGGGAGCTGAGGGTTGGAATTGTTTATAAAATATAATCACTGAATGCTATGATAATTTCTAAAACAATTTGATAAGACCTTTTCTATTTATGTTTATGCATTCTTTTATTATTATATTTTTTTATGATTTATTACTATAAAATCAAATTAGTGTAAATTGAAATGAATCGACTGTTTAGATCCTGATAAAAAATTAAACAAGGTAGTGCTTTATGAGGTTACATTTAACAAGAAATACATAAATATGATAGAAAAGGTCCTATCAAATTATTTCCAAATAAGAAATAAATGATTACTTTTTCTTTCAAAGTCTCAAGATTTATGGGGCATAACGAACCAATATCAAGCAGTTTGCCTTGATATTGTTGCCAGCAGTTAAACATGTATTCGTTACGTGTTCCACCGTATGCAATCTTACGATCTGGATCTATGTTCAAGAACTGAGGGAGACTAATAAGGTAGCACTCGTTAAGTGGCTCAAAATAATATGACTGGTCATCACCGCATCTCCATGTCCATTCCTCTGGTCGTTCATGCTTTCTGCTAGATTTTGCTAGGGAAACCAAACCGATATTTTCATTTTCAGCAGGATGCTCTAATTCAGTATCATCCTTAATGACTTCTATTCCATTTACAGTACCAATTCTAATATTTTTTGCACTTAGTTCCACAATTTGTTCAGTAATTATTTGAAATAGTAAAATTATCTCATAGCAACCATTCATTCTCAAAATTATATTAGAAGTGGATTTTACGCATCATTTTATACAAATCTGTAACAAGTTATACTGAAATTTACATATTCTTGAACTTATTAGGAACATTTTCTTAAAAATTATGACTCGAATTAAAAGTAATTGACTTTGGAAATAGGAAATTAGTGTTTCTACCAGACTAATTTGAACCAATATTGGGAGTAACTATTTTTAAGACACTGTAAATTTAATAATTTCTTAGTTTTCTTTGCTTTATCTAATCGCCGGCTAATCTTCAGCTTTTTAAATAATGCATTTTGAAAGAAGTCGAACATCGAATGAGGAACAACATAACTAATCGCATAAAACAGTTTCATGCTACAGTTTTGCTAATAAAAAATTGTCTTTGACAGAGTTTTTTATTCCAAAATATTGAAAAGAAGGAAAAAGAAGACAAATATAAAAAATTTATCAAGAAAATAGCTTTCCTCTTATTGTATAAAAATCTTTTCACTTCGAAATGAATAAAGTACAATATTTTATTAAAAACTTCAATGCTTTGAGATGAAAATTTAAACTTTTGCTGTTTTCGGAAATTCAACTTTTTGATTTTTTTTTTTTTTTTGTTTAAAGAAAACCAGTAGCAATAATTTTGAAGAGAATAATTCGTGAGCAAATCAAGTACCACTGGTGGCAATGACATTTGTAACACTAACAAATCCGATGTTATTTCAAAGCTCTTTAAAAAATTTTTTTTTTTACTTTAAAACCATTCTTTCATCTGTAATTTCAAATCATCACTCACTTCATTCAATTATATGCCAATGCCATTTTCATTTTCATGCGTATAAAACTTTCTTGAAATCCTGCAGTCTTATAGAAGCAGAAAAGTGCAACAGTAAAGTCTGTTAAAACATTTTGCAAGAGCTTTTTTGTACTGATACTGGTTTAAGGACCGGGCTTCAATTTATGATCAGATTTTAAACCCATATTAATTTGATGAGGATGGTGAGAAATTCTATTGAAGTATTGAAGTCATGAAGTTAGTCTAACAGTTTAGTTTGGCTATTCCAGGCTCATTTTTTAATATTATATCTAACTTCTGAATAATTAAATATGCTTCCAAATAAAAAATTAAAAAAAAAGACTATAAATTACAATTCTTTATATATTCTCTCAATTCATAATTTTTGTGAAAATAAACACATTTGATTACATCTCGAGACATAATAAAATAGCAAAAACTAAGCATCTACCTACAGTGCTTCATTTTGTGATGAATGGACAAAAGAGGACAGAGATATAATGCTGTGGTAAGAAATGTAATAACTCGTACTGGAAGTCTATTAGGAGACTATGATAACTCTGTTAAAAAGTTTATGATTCAATTAAAATGACTATCGTCATTCCTTATCTAAGCTAAATGAAATATTTTGATAATGGATTTGGTGAAAAAGATAACACACAATTTTATTATACATTATACACAGGACAACATGATGCTATTCGAGTGGGCTTCATGATCAATAGAAATTATGAAATGATGACTCAAAATCGGACTTTTTACGACATGCTGGATGGCATCTATGTGAAAATGCATCCTACTGAACCGTGCAGTAATATTTGTTGTGTTATCATGAAATTAGTCAGAACTAATGAAGTGGAACTGGAACAGGCAAGTTGTGATCAGACGTATATGACAATTTCTTCTGTCAAAAACGAGGAAATGGTTAAAAAAATTCTTAACTCTTAACTCTAAAAAAAAAGTTCTTAACTCAGCAGCTTTTTAAATGCTAAAACAAGAATTATGCTAATTTATCAAAGATAACACAAATATGTAAATAAAACCAGCGTACGCTTACTTTACAGTTATAGATCTGACTGCAAATTTTGAAGTTATTTATTGCAGGAAATATATAGCAAGTAACGTTGAGGTTAGGTCTGCATTCTTTGTACTTTCACTTATACTTTGAAATGCAATTTTAAATATTTTGTTAAAAAAAAAAAAAAAAAACACGGAGATCGGTTTCGATTTACAGAAACAAATTCAGGAATTTAAGTGGAACAAATTTTATTTGTAATATTTATTGAAAGAGATGGATATGCGTGTCAAATTAAATTAATCGTCCTTTAATATTCGTTCTTTTTTTTTACGTGTAATAAGACTGTCGTAATCCTTGAGGAAATCTATTGCATATTGATCTCTAGATAACAATCCTTCTTCAATTAGTAATTCAACCATCATACGGTAAATGAAGAGGTATTGCTGTAAATAAATTCGTTAAACTATTGACCAAGTTTAACTTGGGTAATATAAATTTTTTCATATATACATATAATTTATTTTTCTTTTAATAATTAAATTCATATATATAAATGAACTTAATTATTCAAATGAATTATTAACAAGTGTAAGAGAGGATTAGTTTACCAGATCATTTTGTACTGCATGCAAGCGTTGTTCCCGCAGCTTTTTGGTTACATCTACAACAATACAAGTTTCATTGTTGCGTAGTTTTGCCATCGCCAATTCAACAGCAACAAAAGTTCCGGTCCTCAAATATGACACTTTTTTTTGATTGATATTCACAACCTCGCTTTTTATATAAAATGAAAAATTCTTAAAATAGTCATAATGTGATTTAAAAATTTAATAGAACCTTCCAATGCCAGCACTGCAATGGACGATTATTGGTTTTCTCCCGTAGTATTTATGCAACATACTATAGATTTCGCGACAAGTGGAGGCCGAATCAGGAACAAAGTGATCTGGCCATCCTGCATAAGCAATGTGCACTACCTATCAAAATTAATTTGTCAAAAACTTTTGATTTAAAAAACTATTATCTTCCGTGTGCTTCTGTGTTATTAGCGCTAATGACAAAAAATACCTGATAATCAACAAACTCATCGCAACTGTTCTCTATTAAACAGGAAAATTTCCGCTGCTTAATTGTCGATTCAACGAATCATAAAGAAAGTGATGATCGAAATCAAAAGGCATAAATTTAAATGAGGGAATGAATTCTAACAAAATGCACATAATTTTGTTCACATTGTTTCGTGATCTTTCAGATTTTGATAAGTCGAAAAATATAGTCCAAACCTTTTGTAGTCCAAACCTTTTGTATTTTATCAGAATATGAAGCTTCTATTTTTGTCCGAGTTACTTTTTTAAGCGTAACAATACCAGAAGTTGGTTCCGTGATACGAACTCGAACAGCTCCGTATTCTTTCCATCCAGCTGTCTCATTCGGTAAGTAGTCCGAACACTGTTCACGGTCATTTTCTTTTTGCTGACATAGTTGTAAAATCACCTGAAAAATTTCCTTTTTTTCCGTATTCAAAGCTCGTATTATGGTTTTGGCAAGATAATTCAAATATTATATAAAAGAAATAAAGATAAATTAGTGACTAAATTTATATATGATATCATTAACTTAAAAAGCGAAGTGTCAAAATAATGAAATGAGAATACATTTGTTTCTTCCTGTATAGCCATTATCCAGAAATCCTGGATAGTATTCAGCAACGGTCCTTGAGCACATATATATGTCAAGTCGCTTGATATAGTAACATACGATGCATGAATATAATCGTCATCTCAAATGTAATTTTACAATTTTTATTCTACTTATAACGAATAATGATTAATGTGAAACGTTTTTTCTTTTTCTTTCTTTCTTTCTTTTTTTTTTTTTTTTTTTTTTTTTGATAAGTTCGCAGTAAATTCAATAAAGTGAATACTTATTTGTTTTTTAGATCATCCTACGTTTCAAAGATGGCCTGAAATTAAGATTATGGGAAAAATTTTTTAAATTTTAGTTCATAGCAAACTTACTATTAGGCGCATTTTTTAACTTAACTCTTGTTTTATCTCCCAGTTTAATATCTTCGAATCTACAATATTTGAACCAAACAATTCAAGTTGATTAGGATATTCAAGGAAGACAAAAATAATTGTAACACATTGCACAATGAACTTTTAGTTCATTTACTTGATTATGAAACTCTAAAGTTTAGATTGCATGGTAATACTGTGTAGAATGAATGTTTAGAATGCTATTTCAAATCTTTGTTATCTTATTAAAGAACGCTGGAAACCTATTTTTGTCAAAGTTTTGTTCCAGATGCCATGCTTCCGTTGTAACATTTTCAGGAATGTAGTTTTTAATTTTGTTCACAAATTCCTTCCGTATTCCCCGTACCCCCAGCTGAACTGCAGCCTGCATCCACTCTTCTTGCACATTTAACTTTGCTGGTATTATCGTTGTTATCGCCTGCAATTCACTTCATCGTCTTGATGGGTATAATAAGAAGCTCATTCAATAAGTGTTAGCTTAAGAAGTGTCTAACTTTAGATTTTCGAATGAATTTTCGACCAACGATTTGTTCTTGTGTAATTAAACGGCCTTGTCGAGTTTTTTTGTCCGTAATTTTACTGCCACTTTCATCAGGAAGTACTGAACATCGCATCCGCCCACGTGACATGATGCGTCGCTTTAAAAAAAAATAAAACTTGTTCAAAGAAAAAGGAAATATCTCTGCAGAAGCTGACAAATTGGAAAACATAAGTGTAATTTTATGAAATGTAATAATGCTCGAATTTTTTTATTTACTGCATTGATTTGTTTCGATGTTAACGTCACTCAGAGCATTATAGTTCTAAATTTCTTTGAAAAAAAAGAAACAGATGATAGTTTTGCAGCTCAGTTTTTTTTCAATAATTCGAAGATGTCACAAATGATAAACTTATACAGTGGACATATTCTTTTTGATTTAAAATTATTTTGAAAGCAAAACTCGAAATAAAAAAATTTTAGACGAATAATTTGTTTAATTAATCGTACTTTATCTCGCTTCATTTTGTCTCCAAAACTAAACTTGAATTATATACCACAGTTGCCTTGTAAACTTACAAAAATACGAAATGAAATTTCATCATACCATAAGCTTCTTTTAATCCTTTTTCTATAGTTATGATTTCTGCATAATTGTCATTATTTTACAGTAGTGACATTTTATCAAATGGTTCTCTTTTGTTAAGAAAAAAATTAATAAGGACCCTAACTCTGTTGATGAGAAAAGCTATCTTCAAGTTACAAATAAGTGTCAATTAATTATTTAATAATCAATTGTTGCCAGTTTCCAGATTAAATAAGCAAGACAAAGAATTTGCATTATCTAACATGTTTCTCGTTGAGAATACTGGAGCTTCCTTACTTTTGTTAGTTATTCTAAAATTTAATTATGCAGATTTTCAACTCCAAAAGGTGATAATCTTTTTCGCTAATATGCCACTTTTGCCTCATTTTTCATGTAACATTTCAACATCATTTTGTATCGTTTATACTGATATTTTTCTTCAAGACTGTATCAAAATTTAAAATTGTTTAAATATCTCTGAATAGTCTAATGTGTAAGAACATCTTTCAATGGAAATTGTATGACATAAACTGGAACCATGCAGAAAAGGGGAGTATAAATTGAAAAATTGCACTGAGAAAAAATTTTAGATGAAATTTAGTTTTGAATGAAGTAATTGAAACTTAATTTTCAATGAAGTAATTTAATTTCTTTTCTAGGCAGAGAAACAAAAAAAAATTTGAATGCTCTATTACCTTAATATTAAATTCAGACCATAAATAATAAGAATGAACATTAAATATTAGCGATTTCTTATCGTTTTTTTTTTTTTTTAAAAAAAAGCAATCAGACCTAGGAAAGTAAAATAAGAAATGAATGAAAGATAAATAGTGCATAAGACTGCCAAACCTTTTTAGTACCCAAATAAATTCCATAATGAAGACTTATTTCACGAACAGGATGCTCTTGGCTACAGCTTCACTAAGCATAGCATAACAATCTGAGTTAAATGGCAGCAGTATATTCAGCCATTTCTGAAGTATTTCCGACCAGCTAGGAAATTTACAGCTGTGGTACAAAATCCGTTAAGTTAAAATCTAAAATTTAAAGGAAAATTTAAGTTGGTAACTAACTCTAAGAATGGCTGAATTTTTTAAGAGAACAATTTAGAATACTCAGCAGAGATTTCTGTGATCGCTTACTGCCTCAAAAAAGGTACTGTGATTAGACTAAAAAGAAAAGTACCAAATACAATAGGCACCAGAAGCTATAAGGATTTGAAACAAAAGAACTTACCTAAAGCATATATTTGCTAATTCAAAAATAAAAATTTTAAACAACAAATGGAATACGGAAGGAAATAAGTAACTCTTTGACCTAAAATATATGTAGTATGACTATAATTAGGAACATTGCGTGAAACTGAAATAGCAGAATCATTAGGAAAACATTGAGTTAGGTGATTCATTACTTCTGTTAGAAAAAACGCAAATGAAAACCAATTTTATGAGTAGGAACAGGCATGCGATCTTCCTTATATATTCTTCCCTTACATGCTGGCTTATTTTTAATATATTTTATATATATATATATATTTTATATATATTATATTATATTTTATATTATATTATATTAAGTTCATATAGAATTCATAAGCATTCACGGATGCTTACGAATTCTATATGTACTATAAAACACAGTAATTTCAGACATCCACTGGTGCTGTGGAAAAGAAAGAGATCTTCTTCGAAATCCAACTGAAATCACTCGCCGGTTAAATGCACTTATGTATTTAATACTCTTAATTCCTATGACCATTAATTCAGCGATTTTTTTGCTAATTACGATGCGCTATAATAATCCCACAATAAAGCAAATGATAATTTTTACCTATTAAATAAAATTTTGAGCGAATGGCTGCAAATGCAGGATGCAAGCTTAACCTAACCAATAATATTTTATACAACATTTAAATCAATGAAGAGAACCTCTAAACCCTTTCATTACGAAAGGATAACGAAAGGATACATTCCGCAGCACTGGTTTCTCCTACTTTTTAATGCGATGAAAATGAAAACGAGCAGAATAACTGCATCAATTTACAAAACTAGCAAGCACCAAACTGGAGATATCAACAGCATTCTATAAATATTTTAGATTCTTACACTTGTCGAGAAAGTAGGGGAAATCGATTAGTAGAGCGCATCATGACCAGAAAAGAAAAACTTTCACGCGAACCTTTCACAGAAAAAACCCCTTAAACAAATTAATTCCAAGCCTCAATAATTGGAGGATGGCTTTCATGTGTTAGTCTACTGATTTCAAAATGGGTAATTCAAATTTATTAACTGTAATCAAATTATTGTTAAGTACCGGTTTTTTATACAGAATAATATTGCATGAAGAGTTTTTTTGTTTACAAATAAGAGCAAGATTTCAATTTCCCAAAAATAAATTAAAAGGAAACAAACTAAGATCGCTTCAGTAAGTTATTTTCGATTTAGAAGATGTCTCAGGCTTAAAAGGAACATAACTTGAGTTAATAAAAAGAAATAGCTTGAGTTAGCTAAGAAAAACAGCGTCACATAAAAAAAAATAATTTTCATCGGATATGACGGAGTATTTGGATGTTTAATAGTTTTGACACTATATCGGTAGACGCGAAACTCTCATCCAAGCATATCTATCCTGTATCAAATTTATTTACTTTCAACTTTCACAAAACACCGCTAAAAAAGTTGAAGTCTAACTTCATAAGAAAATGAAGCATTGATTTTATTCTTATTACTAGCAAATTCATTGATTGAATTCGAAGCCATCAAAGAAGGAAACATTTTGTACGTCCCATTTTTCGAAGATTTGCTTTAATTGAAAAAAAAATTATGAAACAGAGATTTATTGTTTCCTACTATTCGTAAGTATAACAGTGATGAAGGATAATTTTCTCCAAGTTTTACTAACTGACTAAAACTAAAAACATCTTTGTTATAGAAGTGCATAGAGATTCTATATTTTTCATCCAGATGAAAATATGTGGAAAGAACATTCTGAGAATATACAGCTGTGAATTGGCGGACTACATTGAAGTAGTAGAGAAACTAAAAGAAACATAGCCAAGATTCAAGAAAACATCGATCAGAAGTGAATCACCAGCAACTGTTGTCATTGCATTTGCACCTACTGAATTCGTCTCTATGGAATAAATGTTCCGAAGTGATGTCTTCACTGATGTCAAACGCCGGCCCGAGTAATCAAACTGCAAAAAAAAAAAAAAAAAAAAACACTAAACAAATATGATGACGGTACAAACATCTCTAGAAAAGCATAGGAAATTTAATTAGTAAGCTTTATTATGTAAAGAATAGAAAAGAAGGCTTGTAACTTCCAACAGCAACGAGAGATTCTGGTAGAATACTAGAAAGTCCACCAATCTTAATTAGCCAAATTCGTTATACATATTAGCATTATAACTGTCCTTCGCTTCAGTTTTCTTTTTTCAGTTTATAAAAAAACTATTTTTTTCACCATTTAATTAATATTACTAACTTGCACCAAATTTGGACAAGTTCCTCCTATTAAAATCCGATCGCCATTCATTTTTGCTACTGTGTATCTCATTAGAGGAGCATGTTCACAAATTAAAGCTGAGGCTAATGACCTCGAACCAATGTGCCAAATAGAGGGTTCCACATCGCCGCCACAAACCTGAAGACATATTTTCATTTCCAATTTAAAGATGTTGAAGTAAAACTTACGGAATTTAATAACTTTCCGCATCAAATGCAATAAGCCTAGATATTAAAATACACATATATATGTCCAGTTGATGCTTATATTCTAATCCACCCAAATAATTCCATTAAATGCTCTCTAATTCCCAGCACTGAATATTTTGAACATCATTCGCCGTAAAACTTATTTGCTTTCATTTATTTCTATAACTTTTCATGTTATCTGTCAAACATAGAACTATGTCAAAATCAACCATGATTAGAACTTATTGCTATCTATTTTTTTAGACATACGTAACACCAAAGCTAATTCATTTATATACAATATACAACAGTACATTGGTCGTCTAAGATTTTCTTACTGTTCTTAAATCAGAACAATCATTATACTTTTTTTGGAAACCAACAAAAGAAAAACAAAAAGAAAAGAGAAAAAATGCTTTAAATTATGAATAATCCTTATAAATGTACCATGAAATCTTCTTCAACATCCAAAGCACAAACTCCACGACCAAAACTACTTCGTTTGAGCTTTCCTTCTGAAGCTACATTGAAAATATGGATATCCTTAGAACGAACATCCCAAAGGCGAACAGAACCATCTTCAGATGAGCTCAAAAACACATGTTCTGATTGAACCGCTAATTCATTTATATATTCACTATGTCCAAAGAATGTCGAAATGATCTGAAATTGAAAAACTTGGAAAAAGTTGCAAAAAATATAAACTATTCTGTAGAAATTATTGCCACTAGCTAACCAGCGAGCAAAATTGCAAAGTATACAACGAACGTGGTAAAACTTCGTAATAAATAACATCACTTACTAATGGCTATCATCATAATCTTGTCTGGCACACTGCTGAAATCTAAATCAAACAATAAATCCAGAAGGAAGTATAGCTAAAATATAAAAGAGCGAAACAAACTTTATCCGGACGTTCGATTTCCATCAAACGAATTGCGTTATCTCCAGCTCCAGCATATAATACAGAGCTGTTATCGATGCAAGCTAGCGTATTTATTTCGTATGGTGGAGCAACAGACAATTTTGTAGGAAAATCATTAAATTTATATAACGGATCGCAATAATCGGAAGTATGAGAGTGGATAATATCATCCCAATTATAAACAGCTAATTGACCTACTGAATTACCACAAACTAATCTTGACTGAACAGTGCTCAAAGCAAAAACTGGTTCATCCAATTTTAGCCGATACTTGAATCGTCGTTCATTGTTGGAAGCATTCAAATTAAGAGCCTTACGAAGTTCGAAAAGATATAGATAAGCGAGCGAATCTGTAACCACTAACCAATTACCTGAAATAAACTTTGTTTAGCAGAGCATTGATTTAATTCTTTATTTGCAACATCCATTACTACTTAAGGAACATTATCATTTAAGACGATAACACTAGACACTCCGTAGTTCTTGCTAAGTTACGTATGCCTATGTACAGGAAATTCAGAAATAAATTAGCAGAAAAAATGAACTGCAACTTACATGACTGTCCCTACTATAAAAAATATCTTTAATGGAGTCTCCTTATTATCGTCCATTTCTTTGTCGCTCTAAAATGCCACTATAAAATTTTCGATTAATAAAAATTATTAAAGAATTCTACGTTAAAATGCGTCCAAAATATCACCACCCTCATGGATTCCTTACCATCTGGAGAGAAACGCTGACGATAAATCCTATTGTAGAATGCCTGTCGAGAAAACGTTGCATCTGATTCTTCCACAACCATCCTGGAACTTAACCCAAACCCATAAAGTGACGAAAACATATCGAATTGCCGAATATGTTAAACATGACAGAGCACTCCTCATAGATATTTGTACATACTTCAATCGGATCTCTGCTGATGCGATCACACATATTTGTTACAAACGCAAGAAGAGTTTAAAAAATCAACTCTATCGTCTAAATGAAACCTCTACAAAAGAAATTCACGGTGTCTCTTACTAATTCACAATCCTCGACATTAAATTGAAAATTTTAGTCCACTAAAAATAAAAAATATAGGAATTTAAGATATACCAGTACCAACGATAACTACCACAGGGCATAATAAAAATCACATAAAGAGACTTTGACGACTATCAAAGTGAAGTTCAGCAAATTCACAAAAAAAAGATCTTGAAACATTTATCAAATATAATAAACATAGTTAAACAAATAATTGCAAAAATAAATGAAAGACAACGAGAAATGGGACAAACAACTCTAGAAATAACTATTTCTGCCAAATAATCTTCAAAACCAACGTCCCGATACCTCATTTCCTGAATATGTCAAATAGATTAAGGGGTTAGAGATTCTATGAAGAAATGTTCAAAACCAAGCTCCCCACGTTTGCATGACACTTATATTTAAAAATATCATTCATATGTCATTTATGAAGCATTAATTTATCCGTAAACATATTAGCATAACTCAACTCCTGAAATAGAAATGCCACAAATATTTAGGAAATCATTATATATGTGTTGCTCTTACACAAAATTAACACTACAAGCTAAGTATGTCGTCTATGAAACCAAGAAATCTTAATTACTTTGTATTTCACTACTTTTTAAAAAAACACTTTAATCCTCAAAACGGCAGATAAACGAAAAAGATGAAATAAACTAAGTGAAACGCAGAAGGAGAGCAGGCTATATCGACTTGACTGATTCCTTAATATTGCAGATGAAACTGTGATTCCCAAATACAAAATATGAGCGATCAGGCAGCATATCCCTAATAACAAATAGAAAAAATTTGAGTTTATTGAAGTTTGATTTTTCGATGATGCTCTCTCTCTCAACTGCTCTTCTTTCGAGCTTCATTTCTGAGCCAGTCCTTGGAACCCGTACTCAATACAGCTTCCAGTTAATACGACGAAATGTGGAAACAAAAGCTTTTCGAACCAGTGGTAAGAACAAAGGAAACAAAAAAGAGTCGACATCTAGATATGAAAACGATGCTATAACTAGAACTCCAAAAATAATGGATAAACGAGGCTCATAAGAACTAATACACGTAATTTAGGTAGGGAAACACATTGAAGGACAAAACAAAAACAAAGAATAAAAAACGACAGGATGTGTATAAAATAATAAAAAACGACAAACACCTAGATCCGAACAAATAAAATTTCAAAACAAATAAAATTTGAAAACCAACACACACTCCCTTGTATAGGCTCTTCTTTACTGATAGTTTTTGCGCATTCCCGTGACAAAGTTAAGGACTTACTTGTTTTTGTATAATAATTCCTATAAATGTATTCAAAGTTCATTATTTGTTCGAAAATTTTGCTTACTTCAGTGATGATATAAATATCTTGTAATGTCTTATGCATAAAATATCATAAAACTACGATTCACTGCAGGAATATATATTCAAATATAATACAACTATGTAGGGTAAATCATATAACAATTAACATGTATAAATTATGCAGGAAAAATATGAAACAATAAACCCATATTCATGCAAACAGTATCCTCCCATATAATCTACCAAAAATTTTTGTAAGACGAATACTATTGGGTTCAATAAGTTATGTTGTTATATTATGAAAGAATTAGTAATGTAATTTATAACTTCGAATAAAAACATAACTAAATGGGAGTAAATAGAAGTTATTACTACCCAAAGTAAAATATCATATTTATAGTAGATATTTTGCTATATGTACTACAGTATTCCCTTCCATTATTACCATGAAGGAATATTGAAAAGAAAAAAACGCCTCAAATATAATATTCTTGGAAAATTCTAATATTCTTCAAATTCTATCAACATCTAACAATTTGTAAATTTTCTACTGCCTTAGCGTTATACATAAGAGCACCAAACAGAAAGCTGTGTTTGTAGACAAACTGAAAACATCGAAAGAAAAATAAAACAATAAGAGCGTCGAAAAAAAAAAAGCAAACGAAACAATAAATCTGACAAAAAAACAAAGTCTGAACTGAAATAAATCATAACAGGAAACGAAAAAAAAAAAAAAAAATGGAAAGAATAACCCATCAAAGCAAACCAGAAAATAAACAAATAAAAAGAAAAAGGTCACCGAGCGTATGTTAAAAACAAAGACAACTTACACATTGTGAGAAAGTTCCACAGGGAGATACAGCTGTTGCGGAAAAAACATCGCCGGTAGACTGAATTATAAGAACAAGGAATCTCCAAAAAAGTGTGCAATTATCGGTCTATTCCGCGACATCATGTACTGTTATCTGGTTCAAGATATTTACATTATGATAAGATAAAAAAGGAAATATTCAAATTTTCACTCAAAACATAAATTGTCGTTTGAATATTTTAATATTGGAGAGTGAAAACAATCAGCAAATTACTGTGCGGAACCGACCAAAAGCCATAAAATAACGAAGATTGGTGCAGATTATCATAAGAATATCACAAATCACCAACCGAACTGACATTTACCATGACATCACTAAACGTCATATTGATTTGCTAATCGCTGCTTCAGCGGAGCAGGAAATTGTGACGTAAATGCTGTCCAATTCAAATCACCAACTTGTTGTCGAAAACCGTGTAAAATCTGAATGAACTGTGGTAAAAACGGTACTACTTAGAAAAACATATCTAAGAAAACATTAACGATTCTTACCCTTGAAAACATCATTTTCAATTCAGGCTGCGGATTGTTCCAAGAAGCAATAGCATCACATAAAAATATGAACTCCTGAAAAAATCGCGAAGTTGATGAATGCTTCAATAAAATCTCAGTAAATCTCGGTATATATTATTAAAATCTATGCTGATGAATAAGCGATTAATAATAATAAAATGGCTTTGATTTCGAAATTTCGTAAGGATACTTCTTATAACATGTCACAGAAAATGTAAAATATCTAGGAAAAGAATACCGCAAGTACTCCAGCAGGGTTGAGATTAATCATGTTACAGAGACCCCTAAAGGCGCTCTCTTTTTCGTCATTGTCGCGTATATTCCGCAACGCTAAACACCACGGACGAATGAACTGTGGTAAGAACGGTGCTACTTCACTGGCACAACTAATGCCCAAACGACCAAGAGTTATTGCTGAACGACCAAGTGTTATTGCAGATATATAAAAAAAATTTTGACTTTTAAGGAAAATAAAAAATGGAAAAGTCATAGAGAAAGAGATTGAAAAAAAAAAATTCCCAATACGAAGTTCAAAACAAAGAAACGAACAATCTCCAGAACTAAATAATAAAAATCTCGTACCAGTATTTTCTAGTAGTGTTTTCGGTCCTTTCTCTCTATTCATTACGATGATTAGAGCAGGCAATAATCCAAGAACGTGGGGACGCATACTCTCACCCATCTTCATAGCTATTTCACCAATTGCCCATATCGAATTATTACAAACGGATATTGAATCAGGATCCAAATTCTGCGCCAAAATAGGAAGAAAGATATCTAAAACGTTACAATATTTTATTTCATTGATAATTCAAAGTAATCCTTAAGCGAAACAATCTCAATTTAGCTTTAAAACTTAATCCATTCTACACAGTTTGTTCCTACTATATTAAATATATTATAAAAGCCCACTTATATGAGGTTGCAGGTAATGATAACAAGCTTTGGATAAATCACCAAGCAAAGCAAATGAACTTTGCCGCACTTCAGCACTTGAATCCTGAAATTATTGCTGTTCTGCTCAAATCAAAAAGCTAAGTTTGGAAAATTTTCAAACAAATACAAATTTTGGCCAAAATGAAAATTCACGATATTGAACAGTAAATACCATAGAACACTGATAAACGAGGGCAATAATTTGACTCGGTCCAACAAGAGAATCAATATGTTCGGCAAGTCCTTCCGCAAGTCCCGAGAGAAGATCCAATGCAACAATAAGGAAATCTTTGTCTGGCATGTCATATTCTGCTGGTCGCTCCATGGCAAGCTGCGACTGCTGTAAGCAGCGTCCAATCAGTGCCGTACATCTTAAATAAAGTGATTATCAAGTTAGACAAGTGGAAATAACATAAAACGTGATCAAAAAAGAAGTCAAATATTTAAAATATTTTGTCGCGAGAATCATGTACAACAAATCCTACTAAACATTAAATTGTTTCATTTAAAAATAACGCTATGAAATTAATAAACGAAGAAACCTTTGAAAAACAGGTTCGCAGTATGGCAGGAAAGCCTCATGAAGAGCAGTAGCAACAGAAGATAAACATTCTAACAAGGGAAACAGTTCCTTGTCATCGTCGCCAAGAGCAGCCCATTTTGACATCAACGGCCTCATAATTGTCTGAATAAGACAGATCATTCAAAAGATATAACGAATTCTGATTCAGAAAGACAAGTGTCACAATTAACTATTCGCGAAACAGACCTCAACGTACTGCGGTTCATTCAAATTCGGACCAACACTGTCTGCTAATGTACCTACTGCATCATATAGAATGAGTAAATTTTTAGCCTGAAATGCAATTCAGAATCACATGGTACCTAAAATGAAGAAATTATACATATTGTAATAATATACATTTGCTAGCAGAAATCTGGTATAAACCATATTATTAAAAAAACGTTCATATACATTCGTAAGCTGCAATTGTGAGTATTATGCGACTAAGTATCATGAAAAGATGTCTTAGGAAAATAAAGTATATGATGTTGTAAATAGAAAAAAAAAAAAAAAAACAAATGGTTTTCTAAACATCTCAATGCTAATCTGTAAAATTTAGGTATAAAACAGAAACCTGGTATCTGCTGAAAGCTTCTAC